TGGAATCCTGTTTTGATTCCCATGCTCAATTTCTTGCAGTCTACAGGGTCACACTTGATGCTCAATATATACCCTTACTATGACTATATGCAATCAAATGGTGTGATTCCATTAGATTATGCACTCATGAAGCCTCTTGCTCCAACCAAGGAAGCTGTTGATGCTAACACACTTGTTCACTATTCCAATGTCTTTGATGCCATGGTTGATGCTGCATACTTCGCCATGAATTTTCTGAATTTCACTAACATCCCTGTCATGGTAACTGAATCTGGCTGGCCATCTAAAGGTGATACTAATGAGCCGGATGCAACTCTAGATAATGCCAACACATACAACAGTAATTTGATTAGGCATGTGCTCAACAAAACTGGAACCCCCAATCACCCTGGAATTGCTGTTAGTACATACATTTATGAGCTGTATAATGAGGATTTGAAACCCGGGCCAGTCTCAGAGAAGAACTGGGGATTGTTTAACGCAAATGGGGAGCCTATTTACATATTGCATCTGACTGGGGCTGGCTTAGTGCTAGCTAATGACACTACGAACCAAACTTACTGCACTGCAAAGGAAGGCGCTGACCCAAAGATGCTGCAAGCTGCTTTGGATTGGGCTTGTGGACCTGGCAAGGTTAATTGCAGTGCTATATTGCAGGGAGAGCCATGTTACGAACCAGACAATGTGATTGCACATGCAACTTACGCATTTAACAGTTACTATAGTCGGATGGGGAAGGCTCCTGGGACATGTGACTTCAATGGCGTGGCTGCTATCACCACTACAAACCCGAGTAAGATTCTTCTTCCTTTAATATTCAACATTTGTTCTTCTATGTGTGTTTGTTTCTGTTTCTTTTTTTTTTTATTGGCTGTGTCATGCGGCACGGAAAAACCATTTCTGAAGTTCTAATGCACTATTTGATTCAATGGCAGGTCATGGTACCTGTTTATTCCCAGGAAGGTATGCTAAATAACCAGTCCTGCCTTTGTTTCAGTCACTAACATTTGAATACCCTTTTTCTTCGTTTACAAGCACGAGATAAACAACTAGGGATGCTTGTAAGTCAGTTTCTATCATGAAAAGCCCTTTCTTCTAATATGTTTAATTGATCCTTGCTTGCAGCACCGGCAAGATAAATGGTATTGGAAACATTACAGCCCCATCAATGAATTCCACGAGCTCAGCTCCTCCTGCCCAAAATCTGTATAACCTCGGTTCTATGAGCTTTTTGCTTCTTAGAGTTCTCATCTGTAGCATAGTTTTCTTGTAAACTGGTATGTGCTGAAATCTTTTGCAACCCTAAAAATTTTGTGACAGTTTGTTCTACTAGGTGGAAGTGTTTGTTCTACTAGGTGGGAGTGTTTTCCTTTGTCTTGGTGAAGGTTTAGGCGTAGGGGAATTGGGGCATTGAATTTTTGTACAAAAGAAACTGGAGAAGAGCCAGAATTTAGTTTGGCATCAACTGGATTATTATTCTTTATAATGCAAAGATGTGATATCCTTCTGAGTATAATTAACCACCAGCTCTTGTTAGCAAACCTGTTTTCGGTGGAAATTCTAGTTGATATGGCAGAATGTAGTTAATTGATCTGCAACTCCAAACTTTTCTTGTCACAAGGGAAAGTCTCAGACCCGAAAACCTCCATTCGAGATTGTCTCCCAACTTAATCTTCGACTTGTGGGAAATTAGATGCATGGACGTTTTGGCAAGGATTTGGGAATCAGAGAATCAATGAATCCCAATATCAAACTGATCTTCTATGCCACCTAACCACAAATGTCTTCAATTCTTTCACTTCCACTTTGCCGGTATAAACACCATTCGCCATGGACTCGGCATT